AGATATAGTTGCTACCTGTTGCAGTCTGGTTGACGTTCACGGTGTAGCTCAATCTTTCTGAATGTTCCTTTTATCTTAGCACAGGCAATCTTATAGTGTTAGATAAGCTTCCCAAATGATTTGATATTCTTGGATGAACTTTTAAAACTATATATTTTCTGTTCAATATGATCTCATTGTTTATTCCTGTATAGTTAAGCGAACTCTTACATATTCAAGAACCAATATATGTTAAATGTTTCAAGCTTGCTGACCTCACCGTGACCCACCACATTAGACGTACTAATTTAGCCTATAGTTAGCTTGCATTATAAACTTCGTAAAATTGTGCTACTTCTCTAAATGCCGCGCAAATGTTCACTATGTTTGTATTCAAATGGCCTGTAACTGCCATCGTGGCATTACAAGCATGCTTGTTGTATCTTGCACAGCAAAAAAAAATAAAAAAATATTATGTGTGTGTGTATGTGTGTGTATGTATGTATGTATATGTATATATATGTATGTGTGTATATATATATATATATATATATATATATATATATATATATATATATATATATATATATATATATATATATATATATATATAAAAAAAAAGTATCCAAAAATATTAAATCATTTTGAAAACTTGCCCAACAATATTAAATAAAGTCCACAATTAGTAACTTTATTGTTTTAAATACCAGCTTTTCTTTCTTTATCAGCAAGTACTATAAATGGCTGAGAGTGTCTAGGAGGTAGATCAGAGCAGAGCCAGCACAAGCCAAACACAGCCCTGGCCAGTGAGCATCTCCTCATAGAAATACATTGAATGAATGCAGCTCTATGACAATGTTTGGTATCTGCATGCAGAGGGTGGAAACACTGGCAGCACTGCAGTGTGCAGCACTGCCCCAGGAAGGACTTCTAGCAGCTGTCTGAGTAGTGGCCAGTGGAGCTGTAATGTAAACACTGCATTTTCTCTGAAAAGACTGTGTTTACTGCAAAAAGCCTGAAGGGAATGATTATTCTCACCAGAACATGTACAATAAGCTGTAGTTGTTCTGGTGACTTTAATATGCAAGAAGTTTTAACAGGCACTAATGCCCTCAACTTAAAGGACCACTCTAGGCACCCAGACCACTTCAGCTTAATGAAGTGGTCTGGGTGCCAGGTCCTTCTAGGGTTAACCCATTTTTTTATAAACATAGCAGTTTCAGAGAAACTGCTATGTTTATGAATGGGTTAAGCCTTCCCCCTAATCCTCTAGTGGCTGTCTCATTGACAGCCACTAGAGGCGCTTGCGTGCTTCTCACTGCGATTTTCACAGTGAGAGCACGCAAGCGTCCATAGGAAAGCATTGTAAATGCTTTCCTATGCGACGGGCTGAATGCGCGCGCAGCTCTTGCCGCGCGTGCGCATTCAGCCCAGGAGGAGGATCGGAGGAGGAGAGGAGGCAGAGAGCTCCCCGCCCAGCGCTGGAAAAAGGTAAGTTTTAACCCCTTTCCTCTCCCTAGAGCTGGGCGGGAGGGGGACCCTGAGGGTGGGGGCACCCTCAGGGCACTATAGTGCCAGGAAAACGAGTGTTTTCCTGGCACTATAGTGGTCCTTTAATCCTAGTATATTCTGGTGGAATTCAGTGGCCCAGGGTGCCCAAAAGGTAGATCTACAGATGTGGTGTTTGTTTTTTTTGTTTTTTTTGTTATTTTTTTTTTTAAAGCTACATCATCGGATTCTAACTTTTGGGCACCCCTTTCATCTGCCATTTTTGTACATAGTCACCTGGATTGTGATTATTGTCCGGCATTATTACCGTATTTTTCGCTCCATAAGACGCACTTTTTTTTCCCCTCAAAAGTGAGGGGAAATGTCTGTGCGTCTTATGGAGCGAATGTGAAGCTTTACTTACCTGTCTTGTAGCGTGGGCCGGCTTCACAGCGCGCACCGCGGTACAGGAACTTCAATTGCAGGTTCCGGTTTCCGGCGGGACTGAAAGGAAGTGCACACTTCCTTTCAGTCCCGCCGGAAACCGGAACCTGCAATTGAAGTTCCTGTACCGCGGAGCGTGCTGTGAAGCCGGCCCACGCTACAAGACAGGTAAGTAATTATGTGACAAGGGGAGGGGGTGGACCCTATGGGACAAGGGGAGGGGGTGGACCCTATGGGACAAGGGGAGGGGGTGGACACTATGGGACAAGGGGAGGGGGGGACATTATGGGACAAGGGGAGGGGTGGACACTATGGGAGGGAAAGTGCACTATGGGACGGGGGGCGAACACTATGGGATGAGAACACTATTGGACAAGGGGAGGAGGGGTTAACAATCACTATGGGACAGAGGAACGGGGGGTTAAAATAACTATGGGACAGGGGAGGGGGGTTTAAAGATCATTATGGGAGAGGGGAGTGGGTGGTAAGGAACAAAAAATTCATTTAAAAAAAAAATATTCTGAAAAAAAAATGTGTTTTTTTTTTTTTTTTTGGGTTTCCTCCTCTAAAAACTAGGTGCGTCTTATGGAGCGAAAAATACGGTATTTAAATTTTATTCAGAGCCTAATATTTTTTTAATTTATAAGACCTGTTACTCTAGCAGCCATTTTGGTGGTCAGTTTGTTTTTGTGTATTGGATTCACTGAATGATGTGCACTGACCATATTTTCGGTTCCCTCTGTATGTTTATTGCTGATCACCACAGGGTTTACTAAAGAGCATTGAAAGTTCATCTTCCAAACAGGCTGAAAACAACAATTTTAAGATGGGTTTTAATTTAAACCACAATGTCCTTAGTAAACTGATCTGGCCATGTGTGGATCTCATCTGCTTTATGACTTTTTTTTTTTTTTTTTCTCTGTATTTTACAACATTACAAGAGATAAGAATTTCTAAAATCAATATTATATTATATAAACAGGCAGCAGTAAGGGATGTTCTGCTGTAATGGGGTGATAACCAAATGGTTTTATTTTGGTAGGTGTCAGTCTCTATGGCAACTATGGCAAATCTTTTCCCCAAACGTTGGAGTGATCCACCACAAGTTGTGTTTTTTTTGTTGTTTTTTTTTAATAGTATAATTCCCAGGACTTTGTTACATTGTGAAATGTAATTTTAGTATGTTTCGACATTCCTAATATATTCCTAATGTGGTATAAAAAGCAACTTGCTGACCACTCTGGTAAATACACATCATTACAAAATCTCTTGTTATCCTGCTCGTATCAATCTCCGTTTAAAGGGATGCTATAGGCACACAGACCACTTTATCTCATGATTTTCCCTTGCCCTGCAATATAAAACATTGCAGTTTTAGAGAAACGGGAAATAGTAGAACTGTAGTGTTAGGAATACATTTTGTATAGTATCCCTTTAACAGAGGATAAGAAGTGTAAAGAGACATCAAGCCAGCATACAGCATTCCTTAGCCATGAGTGGTGAGCTGTATGCTCTGTACATAACAAAGGTAATGCTATTGTGAATACACAATCAAGAACATTCTATGTTATCAACAAACTGAGCCTGGTTGGAAGGGACAATATTAAAGTTGTATTGCACATTAATTCACTCAGACCTTTAAATATTGTACTTAACGGTGTCAGCATATTTTATGTATACTTATTGAGCAAAACAATAGAGCTTATCTACCCGAGTCGCAGTATTTTCAGCATGTTTAATGTATTATTGCAATTCTAAGAATGCGCCATTGCGTTCACATACATGCTAAAGTTTTGATAATTTACCTTGATTTCACATTGATTGTACCTGCTTTTTGTCCGTGCGTTTGTCAGTAGAGAGCTTCCTGACAAGGCTTAAAGGTGTATCCCGGTTCTTGGAGAAGCTGCTTGTTTTATTTTAAAGCGGTCCTTAAAATGTGGAAATGGCGAAAGTCTAAAACTTTAGTTGGACAAAACTATCTTAACAATTTTGTCTGTCCGTAGTCCCACCTATGGGAATAATAGAATTCAAAAGATGCATGACTTGGTTTTCAGCCATCAGTGGTGGCTTCTTCTTCTTTTTTTTTTTGGATACGTTCTAGTGCATGTGATCTCGATTCGTTTTTGTAGCTAATAAGAAATCTTGTTGCCAAATACAGGAGCTAAATGAAGAAAACTATTCTAATATTTTGTATAATATGAAGTTTTAGAAGGCATCTATTTTTTTTTTTTTCATGGCAAAATAAGCATGGTTATAATGAGAAGCAATCTGCTTCAGTATATGAGCGTTTAAAACCATAACTTAACATGGCAGCAAAGAATATATAGTGTTCCTTTTTAAAAGGAATCACACAAGGTGTGATTTGGCATGACCACTATATAGAATTCTGCAGACCTTCCCGATTTTTCTCCAAATAATGAACTGAAGTTTTGGTTATTGGACATTTTAAGTGGGTTTGCGATGTTAGACCACAAAAACTAAACTATAAAAATAAATAGTAATAATGCTCCATTTTGGCAATGTTTTCAATGTGGCTAATTTTTTAAATTACTTTAGTTCCTGTCTTTCACAGCTAAAGGAACACTCTGGGCACCATAACTTAATTGAAATGACGTTATGGTGCCATGAAGTCTCTGGCGCTGGATCACCTTAAAGGACCACTATAGGCACCCAGACCACTTCAGCTTAATGAAGTGGTCTGGGTGCCACGTCCAGCTAGGTTTTACCATTTTTTTTTTTAATAAACAAAGCAGTTTCAGAGAAATTGCTATGCTTATATTAGGGTTAATCCAGCCTCTAGTGGCTGTCTCATTGACAGCCGCTAGAGGGCTTCCGCGCTTCTCACTGTGATTTTCACAGTGAGAAGATGCCAGCGTCCATAGGAAAGCATTGAGAATGCTTTCCTATGGACTGGCTGAATGTGCGCGCGGCTCTTGCCTCGCATGCGCATTCAGCCGGTGATGGAAGAAGAGGGAGGAGAGCTCCCCGCCCGGCGCTGGAGAAAGAGGTAAGGTTAACCCCTTCCTCTCCATCCAGCCCGGCGGGAGGGGGACCCTGAGGGTGGGGGCACCCTCAGGTCACTATAGTGCCAGGAAAACGAGTGTGTTTTTCTGGCACTATAGTGGTCCTTTAAAGGGAAGCTATAGTGCCAGGAAAACAAACTTGTTTTCCTGGCACTTTAGCTCATCCTCTGTCATGGCCCTTACTCCCTCTGGCCACTCTTCCCTTGCCGTCATCAGCTGGCGGGGGAGACCTAATTTGCATGCTTTTCAATTATTTGCTATGGGAATTCCGGTGACACTGGAAGTCCAAATGCATAGTTTGAGGACATTCAGCCTCATTTAAGTTACCAAAAGTCCCCTTTGAGTCCGGAAGCCCTCCAGTGGCCGTATGGTAGACAGCCACTAGAGGAGTTGTTAACCTTAGCAGGCAATTAATGTGGTTTATAGAAACTGCAATAATTACATGCTCAGGGTGATGGGAGTTGGCACCTAGACCACTTCAATGAGCTGAAGTCTTCTGGGTGCATACAGTTTCCCTTTTAAGGGAACCCCAAAGTCTGTTCTCCCTGCCTCCTTTCTCCTTCTGTTTTCTTAAAATCTTAAAAAAAAAGGATATTGTGGCTGCAGGAATTCAAACCTTTCCATTTTAATGGCTATATTTCTGATATGTTCCAGTTTGTAACTGTTTGTTTATCTGAGCAACGTTTTGCTTTAATCTGCATTCTTTACTTGGCAATCCATAATTCTTAAATTTAGACTTGTCATTAATCATAGACTTGACTTGTCACTTTGATTTTCTGCTTGTTGCTGCTTCTCAAGAATCAAATGCTGGCTTCAATAACCCAGTGAGTTAATTTCTTCTGACTTCTCACAGTCAAAGCCTGTATGTTGGTGCCATGTGACTCTGCCAGATGTTGAGAAACCACTTTGTTGGGTTGCCTTCTTTACATCAAAGTAAGTGTTGCATCCTTTCTAAATTTTCAAATCAACAAAGCGGGACATTTTAATTCTGGTGCTGCGGCCGAGGTAGGGATATTCTGAAAGATTTAAGATGACTTACTGATAACTGATGCAACTAAAATGTAATTTTGAATACAAAAAATGTTTGCACAGACAGATTTGCAGACACAGTACCATGAGTTTTATTGCTGTGGAGCTCTGTTACACAATTCCTCACACACCAATAATATGGAGCTCTTGGGGGGTGTGGGGTGGGTCAGGTGGGGGGGGGGGGAGGAGAGACAATAAGAAAAGAGAGATGGAAGGATTTGGACCCAAAATAGGGACTGTCCCTCTTAAAGAGGGACACTTAGGAGGTGTGGCATTGCAATTTCTGATTTGAACTTGCTCAGTTTCTTAGAGACATTGCTAATCTATATCCATGGGCAAACCATGTAAGTAATTGATCCCTTCCTGTTCAATATGCATTCATCTAGAAGTGACTTTTTTCCACTTTAAACAACTTTGTTTGGAACTTCAAACGTATCAACACTTAAAATTCAAATACCTCTGCAGTATTTACTCCAGCCGACCAAGACATTGAGTCTTAATCTGAGATTGCATTTATTGGATTCTTGCACTGACTAGAATGTGTTCTGTGATTTAATGTGATATAAATACATATCTTAAAAATACCTTTTCCATTTATGATTGGAACAATTTTACTCTGCCAGCTGAAACTTAGCATGATAACTATGTGGGCTCAGCTTTCCATCCTATGGAGCCCATACCACAAGGCACTTGTTAGGCTGTCTGAGGAATGTCTCTGCTACTTTATCCTGGGATATTGGTTGTGTCAATTGTCGGAGAGACATTTTACTTGAAAATTGCTTAAATTTTATTTCCTCCTCATAACCGTTATGGTGCGCTGTTATTGTAAAAAGGCACACCTTCAGGATTGGGGAATTTACATTAGACACACAAAAGATTAACATAGTTATTCACTAAAGTGAGAATTGTTGTAAATTCTAACTCAAATTTGAAATCTAAGGACAAGTATATGAACTAGAAACATATCTGACTTAGACTATTTTTCCAGGTTGGTATTGTGGTCTAAAATTAGAAATTCACTATTAATTCCTGGTTGGTCACTAAACCGATAAAGGCAGGTTAGCTGCAGATTCAAGGCCAAAATCTTTAATTAAAAAAAAATAAAAATAAAAGGGGGGGTGTGTGTGTGTGTGTGTGTGTGTGTGTATATATATATATATATTTATTTATTTTTTAAATTTTACTCTTTACATTCATTTGTTCCCTTTAGCTTGGTCAATTCCTGAAATGCCTAAGTGAGTAACCTTAGAGAGAAAAAAAAGAACATCAATGGCATTTGTGTTGTACACGGGACTCTACTGCTTTTAGGAAGGTAATGTGCCAGTTGTATTTCATCAAGTAGTAATAACGTGGACCTTTTTGATGTTTGTTTTCTTTTACGCCCTCTGGGGTCTTGTAACCTAGACAAACCACAATGATTGCCTAGGCCGTGATGATCTGTAATAGCTGAGGCAACAAAGCCATGCACCAACCTTGATGGTTGGGAGCAGCTGGCTGTCGTGTCAAGATTGGTCATATGACTTTAGGCAATGACAGAACTGAGAGTAGGGTCAAATTTTCAAAGGGATGTTGCGCCTCTCACCCCTTTAATTTTTGTCTAATTTTTTATTTTTTCCTTTCCCGTTATATTGTCATTGTTTTATTTAACTACATTAGGAAAGTAGCAACATTGTTTCAAGTGTACCTATCCAGGGAAAGTAAGAAAATGAAAATCATGGCAAGACCAATCATAAAGGAACACACTCTAGCCACCATAACTACTACAACATACAGCCAGATGGTATTCACTGGAAATTTGTCAAACCTATTTACACTTGCTTTGCTGAGTCAAGTGCCTGCGTTCCTTCTGCTCTGAGTTGGTCTGATAAACTGCAAGTTTGTACCATATTTTCACACTAACTCATACCAAGTTTGGACAGTGTTCATTAGGTGAGCTCTCAGAAATGCTCTTTCTAGTTGTTCATTTTTATGTTTGTTTGTTACAAGTAATTTCTTTAGAAGAAAAAAAAGAGGAGGGGCGGGGGGGTGGAGGGTGGGGTAATTATGTGACTGATATACATTGAGCGTAAAAAATCCATGGACAAGAGTTATGCGATCGACAGTGCTATAGTGGTTATGGTGCTCTAGGAACTCTCCCAATGTAAGTAGTCAATTTTATAGCATCTTGACTTCTTACCTCAGATCCTGAAAAGAGCTTAAGGATTGCAGGCTTAGCTCAGTGAAGAAAGCTTGTTGCCAGTTGTGAGGAGGAAGAGAGTGAAGGCTGGGGGACCAAAGGCAGGAAGGTAAACCTTTAGAAACTCTTTGACTTTTTAAATTGGAGGGGTGCCATGGCACCAAAGAACTGTATTGGTTATTGTACTTGGAGTGTTCCTTTATTGGAATCTACAAACCTCTCCGTGCTGGGGAGATGTGTGCAGTACTGTCTGTTCTTTGTACAGTGCATATGTCTATTTACATGTTTTGTGGGGAGGAAGTGACTCTCTTGTGGTTACCTATTCATTACATTTACCTTTGCATAGATATTTCTTGTAATTTCTAAAAGGTATTTTAGGTAACTTTTAGAAGTTGCAGTACTTCCTTAAGTCTAATGATGCTTATAACAGACAGAGTGGGGCATACTGGAATCATCTGTTCTGTAGGAACCAGCATTTTAAAGTAAGTGTTTTTGTGCTGGGTATAGTTATGCTGATGTAGTAGTAGTAGTAGTAGTAGTAGTAGGGTGTTTTTGTTTATGCTTTGTTTTTGGGTTTGTTTGTTTTTGTCCTTTACTACAATGCTTCTTTTGGTTATGCGTCAATCTGGCTTTTACGTGCATGTGTGTAGTACACATTGTCTGTATAGTGACACTATACAGTTTGTCAGTGCAGGGTGCAGGTGTAAAGCATAAAAAGGTATTGGATGCCAGGGGCTCCCATGAATATGATTTATTTAAAATTAGATTGCAACAAAAATCTATCAGGAAGGGACTGAATAGACTGAAACCGGAGTGTCCTTTCTGATATCTGCAAATTTCTATGCACATAATCAGGTGCTCCTCCATTCTGAAGCAAATCCTCTTTTATTTTTAATTTAGGCATCTCGTGTACATTTCTTGGTAGGGACATTTCTTTCAGGTGTAACACTTGAGTGACCATTTATTAAAGCGGCACTGTCATGCCGAACTTACCTTTCCTCAATCTCTTCCTCTTCTCCCCCTCTCTCAGGTTCTGTTATTCTTTTCTTCCTGTCTTCTTTAGTTTTCTTTAAAATCATAAGACAAAGTAGGGACTCTTTGCCTTATGGAGGATTCCTCCGCTTGACCAGCTCTGACCAACGGAGGAGCAAAGTGTGCTTCATTTCCGCTGGTCAGAGCAATTTTCCCATGATCCCTAGCTTTCCTCTGTGTTCCCACAATGCTTCCTGTCATTTTACACAAAACTGCCGAATTGCGTTCTAACTGAATGAGAACAGTCTGTTCGTTTCTTTTAGAACGCAATTCGGCACTTTATTCGGATCAGAATTTCATTCGAATGAATGAAACTCCAATCCTATTCATTACTGTGGCTGCATTTTGCAGCCGCTTAGTAGATAACTCCCTAATTCCCACGGTATCAGGGAGTTATCTACTAAAAGGCTGAAAGACCTAAATTGGTCTTTCAGCCGCATTTACTAATTACTAATACTAAGTAAAGATTACTTAGTATTAGTAAATTAAATGCCCCTACTCGCCATACCGCGAGTAGGGGCATGTCTGGTAAACAGTGAGCAGCCTGTGGCTGCTCACTGTAAAAAAAACTATTGGCCCCCACCCCTAAACCACGGGTGGGGGCCCTAAAATAAAATAAGGGGGGGAGACCTACTGCCCCCCCCGGCCCCCCCCCCTGGGCGGCGGGTGGGGGCCATAATGAGAATGGGGGGGGGGGGAACCTACTGCCCCCCCCGGCCCCCACCCCTGGGCGGCGGGTGGGGGCCATAGTGAGAATTAGGGGGGGGGACCTACTGCAACCCCCCCGGCCCCCACCCCTGGGCGGCGGGTGGGGGCCATAATGAGAATGGGGGGGGACCTACTGCCCCCCCCCGGCCCCCACCCCTGGACGGCGGGGGGGGGC